AATTATTAAATTCAATTCCTTCTATTATTAACCTAAGTTTATTATTGTCAGAATCAATTCTTTTCATCATCAATTTGTCTTGTATCTGATCAGATTCTCAATATTATTTTAAGGTAATGGTATCCTTAAAATTCTTAGAATATGTACCATTTACAATATAGCTTATATAGTAATTATGACAAAATTGAGTACTACCTAATTGCTAGATAGAATCTAAAATTTTATGTTACAAGACTTTTCGTTTAACTTTTTCTATAAACCTTTAAAATTTTATTTTATTCTCTTTTACTCCATAAATAACATATGATCCAAAAAGTTTTTTTTAGTTTAGATTTTCTATTATAATCTTTAGAATTAATAAATATATCTGTTAAAAACTGCATAATTAATAAGATTAGTTTAAAATTATTATAATAGACTTCTAAGAATGTAAAGGGTCTCTGATTATGAAGATATCATATTAAAATAACTGTATCGTATATTTTGAGAATAATTATTCTAAGTAATATAAGTATAACTATATACATTTTGGCTATTTTAATACTAATAAACTTAGTAGATATTACATTAATTATTATGACAAAATTCTGATCATTATAATTAGGGTCTTGAATATAATTAAAAAATTTTTTTAATGTTACATGAAAAAGATCAAAATTATAGAATATTTACCTTACTTTAAATAATATAAAAAATCAAGTTACATAATTCTATATAATGATCAATTACACAAATATTCAATATGCTAATTTACTCTCAAAAGAAATAGATTTTATAAAAAAAAGATAAATTTGATATAAAAATAATTAGTAAATTTTTTTCAAATTATCTTTTTATAAGAAAGTTAAATAATTGACATATAAGATGCAATATAATAAGTATAATAATTATATATATTTAATAAATTAGAGATTTAAAATTAGATTTAATTCTAATAATTAATAGATATAACTTATATAATAATATTTTAAATTATGCAATATTATATAATTTCTATTTATAAATTAATTAATCAAAATTATTAATATTTAAGGTATTAGTATATTTAAAAAATCCTTTAATAGCTTTTAAAAAATATTCTACTAGTTAATTAAGTTTTTTCTATTCAATTTTATTATTTATATTATCTTAAGTTTATATTTACAATTTTTATAAAAAATATCTTTACATAATGTTACTTTATGATTATTTTATAATATTTTTTAATTTACTAGCTAATAATATATAAGAATAGATATAAAAAAGGTATTATAGTTATTTTTTTATTACATAAAATTTATTTTTAATATACATATATCTTTATATTAAAAAAGAAGTAAGTGAATACAAACTTCTTTAAAATTTTTATATGTATATCTATTAATAATTTTTAAGATATTAAAATTAATTGCTTTTTAATATAAATAAATAAAGTTCATAAATAATATATTTTCTTTTAAAAGATTATATTATATAAAACTTCTTAATTATAGTTATTATATTTTATAGAATTATATTTATGAAAAAATATTTTTAAATATAATAAGTTAAAAAATTAGCATATGTATACTCATATACTATAATAATTTTTATATTTTCTAAACTAGACTATTAAAATTACTTTACATAAGTTTCTTCTAAAAGTAAATCTTTTATAATTTTATATTTTTAGTTTTATAATCATAATCTATAATAATATGAAAAATTTTTATTTTGAAAAGTAACATATTACTGTTCTAAAAGATAAACTACAAGTTTTTATATTTTTGAAAATAATTATATATTCTATAATAAAAAATTCTTTAAATAATTTTAGAAGTCAAAACATATCTCATATCTAAATACATTTTAATCTTATCAATTAGTTTTATTTAAAACTAATTATTATTACAATTAGATTAAAAAAAGTTAATATTATTTGATTATAACTCTTGTAAATATATTTCTGTAAATATTTAATGAGGGTTTGACAGTCCTAGCTCAATCTGTAAGGTGCAAGTTTCTATTGTAATTATACTGCAATAGATCCTAATTTAGCATCAGTTAAGTGCAGATTGCAGTATTAATTTACTATGAGATTTACTGGTTTGATTCTGAGAATAAATATTATAGGATATACACAAACTATGTGTATTAAAGATTACAAACTTGTAAACCCATATAGTTACATAAGTAGTTATATGCATATAGAACTAATTGAGTTTAGAACTTGTGCAAGGGCTGGCCTGTAATGAGCAAGTGCCGCATCGTTTGTAAGGAGGTCACCTTTGATAATAGGTTGAGATTGATCAATGATAGATACCATATAATTTGAATTGAACAAGAATTATAGGTTATAGGTGGTTTCTAGTTAAAATGCTGTAGTATTTATAAAACTAATTAGGGTTTAAGAGGCATAAGTTCAATTCTCAGGGTGATTTTAACAGTCTGAGCATACTAACTATGTCAAATAGCTATTCTGAATTAAGTTAGTAAAGACTCCTCTTTCTAGTAATTAGCTAAAATCTTTTATACTGATAGCACTTAGAAAAAGCCATATAACACTTGACATGCATAGCTTGTCATAAAAGTTAGTGATATTAGTGGCTCAGATTGGCTTAAGAAATAGCAAGAAGGGGCTAGAACTAGATACAACTGACATATAGATGTATGAGACACAGCCTCAGATACCTTAGATGACCAATCACTAGAAAATTAAAAAAAAATATTTAATGGCTAATATATTAAAGAATGAGAACTATTATTAAATCTGAAATAATTTTAACTAATAAATATTGTAAAAACTAATTAGCATTAACTTAATTATTGAGTAAATGAATAATTAGATACTTCTTGTAATATATGACTAGTATATAAAAATCTTTCACTTAGGTTATGAAAGATCTGTTAAAGTTCAGTTAAAGTCTTAGAATCTATCAGTTCTAGTATGTAGATAGACTGATTTAATCTTTATAAAAGTCCTGTAACTTATATAGAACTGTAATCAAGACTGAGTCTAAACTATTAAATAATATTTATTTTAGTATTATATTTCTGAAAGTATTATATTTTAAGATTACAAGCTATTAGAATTTCTTAATTCTTTCAATTTTAAGCTTTCTAATGCTAATGATTTTTTATTAGAAGATTAAAAAATTTTTAAAAATTTTTATAAAAACTTATAATTTTTTCATTTTTTAAATTGACATTATTTCATAATTTCTATTTTATTAATAATTGTAATAATGCTAGATTATGTACTTTTTTCTTTTTTAAATGATACTTTTCTTTTGAAATTCCAATTTATAGATAAAAAATTTTGTTAGAAGTAAAAACCTTCTTGAATTTCATGTATTTCGCATAAAAAAAACTTTAATTTTACCACTGATGTCTTAATCTCCATCCCTATGGATACTACCTCTATATATAATTTTTTGATTCTATTAAAAATGCAATTGCATTTCCTTTTTTATTAAAATAAACAACATAAATAATGTAAACAACTATTTTAACAAATATCACATAAACACATATATGTTATTTTTTTTTAAAAAATATCTTTTTGGTTAAATATTCAATATTATCAGATCATTAAAATGTATTATACACCCTTAAACAAAGTATTTCTTATAGTATAATACCCTTTAAAATTCATAAATATGTATTATATTCAAATATCTAAATCAATCGTTTACAATATTTAAATTTATTGTATTTTATTTAATTATTATTAATAACTGATAATTTTATTATAATTAACATATTACAAAATTAAATCACTAATTGTTTTCATATTTGTTAAATTTATTATTATATATCATTTAAATCTTTAAAATTATAGTTTAAATAAGCAATTTTTGCTGAATAATTTTATAATATAAACATAAAATTTGATAATAAAAAGATGTAATATGTAATATTTAATTAGAATTTAATTGATTTATATATTTCATGTGATTATAATTAAATTGCAATATATAAATATCTGTAAAATTAAACTTTAATTTATATTATTTATTAAAATTTATAAAGATCAAATTGGAACTATTCAAATTAAGTTCTAAAAATTAGGACCAGACTTATCAAGACTAAAATCAAAGACTAAGTCCTAAAGTCTTAAACCTGAACTTTTTTATTCCTTACTTTCACTTTACTTTGGACTAATAATTATAAATTTTAATATTAATATAAGCATTATATTTTATAATTAATTTAATTTTATATAATACAATCTATTTATTATTTAATCAAGTTCTGCTTTTAGCTTTAATAAAATAACTATTATTATATTTTTAATAAATAAAATATCCTTTATCATTTTTTTTGAATTATAGATAAGGAACGAAACCCTTTAATAACAGTTAAAAATTTAGACGAAACTATATTAAAATCATAATAAGGAATACGACAAAACCCATTTGATACGATAAAAGCTAAAACTATCAAAACTATATTAAAAACATAGAAAAGGTATAACAAAATTATTTTGAGGAAATTTCGGCAGGCATCTATATTTTTAATATATTTTTAAAAACCCTTAAGTAATATTTTTAATATATACAATCTATCATATTGAATGTAATTTAATTTATTTTATAATTAATATAATTTTATAATAAATAGATTATAGAATTTGAAATTTCATTAAAAATAATAGAGTTGTAAATATATATAGATTGTGACTTATTTTTTAATACAGTTGAACCTCTCTATAACGAATCTTCATTTTTGGAGGTCACGATTCATTGTAATGAGAAAATTTGGTAATGTTTTACCAAATTTTAAAAATTTATTCGCTATATAGTGATACTGAATATTATATCCAAATTCAGTATGATAATAAAATAGAAATTTATCATTTACTGTAATCAAAAACCGCAGCTGAAACTGATGATCCAGTTTGAAACTGGTTTACTAAACATTCTTAAATATTTTTATTATATATTCAGAAGTTCAATTTTTATTGGTTATAAATTCAGCGTAACTTTATAATTTCGCAAAAAAAAAAATTAATCTTTTTCACCATAACCATCGAATATATTTTATTCTTTACTAGTATTAGCCTTATCTGCATTCTCAAACATGAATCTAATGTAACTTGTTTAGAATAGAATTCTTCTCGTTTCACTGCTTTTTGTAATTTTTTTATTACCTGAATTTGATCCTTTGGAAAATCAATTTTATAAGATTTTTGTTCTGCATATATGATTATTTGGTTAAGTGCTACTAGTGCTTCATAATTACTGATAATAGGAATTTCTGGTTCTTCATTATTTGGTTCTACTTCTGGTTCTTTCATTAATTCTATAATTTCCTCATCAGTTATCATCTGATGAAT